TTGTTTTCAGATAAGACGTTTAACCATCTTGACACCATTTGTTGTAAGAATCGCTGACAAACCCCTTGAGTTATTCTGCTAAAAAGAGAACAGATTAAAATCGTTTTTGCCAGATTCTCTGTCTTCCCAAATGAGGAATGGTGAAAGGAAAAATATCATTCAGGCCTTCAATAATGGTACCAATATTCTCTGGCTTCCATCTTCGGTCTATTCAAAAACGAATAAGTTTAAAAAAAAGGGAACAGTAGAACAGAAAACTGGATCAGGGGTCACAACAAGAAAAGGGATCATTTTTTTCAACTTTGAGCTAAAGAGATCAATTAGAAAAAAATCGACTCAATCCATAAGACGTTTGGCACGTGGGAAAGGATTTTCAGCTATGACAGTCCAAAGAGCAGTGGAAAAAACTTGGAAATGAAATCGTACGTGAAACCTGCGAGGCAAAGTCTTACTCCAGAAAGTTAGAAGATGCATCTTGAATATGTTGGAAAATAATCCTGGGATGATAAATATATATTTGAACTGTTAGGGTTAGAAAGTGATTATAGATTGTTATTGTTAAAAGTGGAGTTCAATAGTGTTATAAAAATCTCAGAGAATTTATTTCTACGATACAACGGTTCAAAGTTTAATCTAACAATTGGACAATTTTGTTGTGACACGATTTGAATAATTTGGTGACACACGCGATATATATATATATATATATATATATATATATATATATATATATATATATATATTATAATTTTAAAGAAAAACAGACCACTATATAAGGTTCAATAATAATAATTTATTTCACCAGAGCCCTTTTAAAGGACGCCGGATCATCAGATAGCACTTCCAAAAAATGAAACAAAAAATGAAATGTAAACTGATGGGTAGTGTGAGTTTTTGTAATTTAACAAAGAGTGTAAAAGGAGTAGTTAAAGAGACATGGTAGAGTTTGGAGAGGGTTTAATTTAATATCTCTCTCATACTTAGTATTGAGGGAGGAGGAGTGACCAGACCATGACCTATTTAAACGGTTAACAACGGAAGTGATATATTGAAATGGGAGGGGAGAAGAGAGAAAGGGAAAAAGAAAAAGGAAAAAGAAAGAAGAGGGAAGTAAAGAGAAAGAGGCTGTAAATGGGTTTTACATATGAAGGAGAGGGGTGGTAAGTTTTAGCAATTTATGTAAAAAATAGATTTTAATGTTTGATAGTAATTTAGCTCTGGATTTACATTGAGCTCTCAGGATTTCATCCTCCTTGGGACTACGGATTACCAAGTTTTTCATAACTATATATATATATATATATTTTTAAAAATGGCGTATTTCATATAGAGAAAAACGTTAAAATTCTCTATCTTGTGACGATGGTCTAGAGGTAAGAGATCTGACTGATGTCAAATGAGTCCCGTTTGATCCCGGCTTAAAGCAATCGGACATTTAACCACACTAAGCCGCTGTGATACAGCGAAACAGTCTGTCTGTGTATGACTTTATATATATAAACACATACACTATTTCTGCCTGTGTTGCTTGTATTCATTCCTGATCATTGACAAGAGTTTTCTTCATTTGTAATGTATTTCAACAATAAATTGTTTAGCAATATATTTCTGCAGTAAACCCATTAGATGGTATTTAAATTATGGAGATAACAGCTGTATTCACCTGTAACGATTGCATTTATTGCTGACCACAAGATAATCCTTTATACAAATTTTATTTGTACTACTGTTCATATCATTAGACATATCCTACCATTAATGCGTCGAATAGTTATAAACAATTGTAACCTTGTATTAAACTATCTTTAGCTTTTTGTGAATTATCAACGCGATTCCATTTTGTAAGAACTGAAACAAAATTTAGCAGTAAGACATTTCCTTCAAAGAGATAATTATCTATCCTATAAAAATGACATTCGTCTTTGTTTATATACCGCCTGTTAGATTCCAACATTACGGTATTTAGAGCTTACTACTATATAAAGTAGAAAGACCCGGGAAAATTTAACGGTTTTCCTATTTGAATTTGCTGATGAATCTTAGTGACTGAATAAAGTCATGGCGAGTTCTGCGACGAGAAAAAAATGCGTGGAAATTCCCTTATCGCATCTTTAAATATTTCAGCTTAACAACTTACAAAACATTTTGCAATAACAATCATAAATATGAATGCTGGTCAATATTTTAAGAAGTGGGTACAAATGAACAGATTTTGACAGTTTTTTCATTTCAGTTAAACAGCCGTCAAGCATTTCTATCTTCCCTTCTTTCTTCCTTCCTTCCTTTCTTTCTGTCATTCATTTTCTCATTAAAACCAATATCTGAGATGCCTTTTGTTTTTGCCACGCGATCACAACAGAATAGTCTAATATTTATGAGGTATTATCAGGCGACGTTAAACACTTCTTTCTTTCTTTCTTTCTTTCTTTCTTTCTTTCTTTCTTTCTTTTCCCGCCCGCCCGTCATTTCTTTCTTTCTTTCTTTCTTTTTCTCACTGAAACCCAGTAGCGTCTTTTCCCCGCTTTCCACGCAATCAAAACGGAATAGTCCATTATTTATGAGATACTGGCACGGCGTAACGATCGTGCGAACTAGCAGAGGGAAGAACAATCATTATATGATTCGGATTCAGCATGTTTCAAGAAATGTTTGATAAATAATTTATTTCTGTACTCTTTATGCAACTGAATATATTTGTAAATTAAAACATCCTTAACAGTTCACGTTAGAATAAAGAATAGCTGATATTTTAGTGTTTTCAACGTCATTCTATTATTTTTTAAAATAAAAAGTATGGAAGTTAACTAAAGAATGAATCGTAGGATATTCCATACATTTTTAATAACAGACGATTTTTAAATGATTTATTTTTTGCAAATAACCAAATATAAAAAGCAAAATAAAAAGATTAAACAATTTCTATTTAATATCTACATAATAAATGCGAACATCAGTGGGTCACTGTGTCAAACTTGTTCAACTTTACCGCCGTAGCCTAACATATATCATTTTGGAATCAAAAAGAACACAACTATATAACTTTCAATAGCTCATGTTCAAATGAAAAAAAAAATACTGTTCTCAAATTATAGTATTTCAAAATAAAATTGTCTGTGTTTTCAATTTTGGCCGTAGCCCAACATATAATCTTTTGGAATTAAGACGACTCCGTGAGCAAATTAAAGATATTCCGGGCCAGATTCGGACAGCAATCCTGAAAGTTTGGATTCACAAGTTTTCATTACGGCGATTTTTTATATGATTTTTGTGACTTTTTTTCTACGAAAACACTTTTTTTATAAATTGGAAATAAATTTGGGAATATTCCAAATTAATTGCGAAAGTCACCCATGAAATAAAAATAATTGTTTGTACGGAAAGTAAGGACCTACGTACATCAAATTTTCTTTAGATTAAGTGGCATCAAAAGAATTATCGCTGAACTTTTAAAAGGTAAGTGTTGTAGTCTGTAGTGGTAGATCTTGTCGCTTCTCGCTTTCAGTTACCGCCGCTGGCTAGCAGAAATGCGAAAAGGGGAGCCGAGTGCGTAAGTCTTCCCCTGCCAGTATATAGTCTCTCCATCAGCAAGCCATATATAGTGCCTCCTCGTGGCGACACATGGTAACCGAGTTGGCCCCCTTAACATGCGACATGCAGGCCCACCGGTGAACATGCCCTACACAAATCCGGAGTGGAGGCCCTAAGGCGGATGGACGGCACTTTGTGCTACCTTCCGGCAACTCCTGCAGTCGCGCTGGTACCAAACTGTATTGGTTTATCCTTTCCTTTGGACTCTGCTAGCAAGGCCGAGAGGGGAACTAGACGTCCGGGCAGCCCTAGTTCTCCATATATCCCGCCCAGGCTCGTGGCACACTGGAGAGGACATTCCAGCGACGTCACAAGACATCTGCACAACGCGCTACTCCATCGTGACGAACCGGACTGAACCGAATAGTAGTAGTATTCATGAATTTATACACGACTGGTGTTATTTTGATATAATAGCTGAGAAACGCCGGGTACCCCTGCTAGTCTTCGAATAAAAAGCCAAATCAAACCATGACAGGATGTTCTAATAATCAATGGCCGAAGAATCCCATTCGAAAATATTCTAATTCAAGGGAAGACGTGCAAGAACAAGAATTAGAATAAATACCATATCTATTCTGTTGTGGCGGACTGCGGTTTTTTTACGCGTTGTGATATGAACACGCGGTAAACTCCTGAAATAAAGTCCGCTACAAATATGGCAGACTCGGAGAATGAGTCTACCAAAAAGGAAATGTAAAAAAAAAAAAACGATATAGACGTACAAACAAATATGTGTATTAAAAAAGGGTTTACAGAAGAGAAAAAAAAACATTAACGCGTGTGTGCGTGTGTATGTATGAACGTAAAGAGTTTGTGTTTCAAAGTATGTTCGTACCTACTTATGTGTGTGTGTGTGTGTGCATAATGTTCATGGCATCTTTCCACGGAGAAGCATAGCGCTCCCCACGAAGGGTAAAACGCAATCTTCTGCGAGAGCCTTACATGGTTGCAGTGTCAGCTGAAAACGCAAGAAAGAGAGAGAGAGAAGGAGAATGAGGCGTCCTCGAGTATTTATAGTTTAGAGATAGCGACCCCGAGGAATAATTTGGATAATTAGGAAATTAAGGAGGAGATAACTCTGACACTGTTTTTTAATCTAAATATAGGCTTTAGTCTATGTTTAGCCATCTAAATATTGATAAATGGAACCTCAGTCCCGAACACCGAAGTTAAGCAACGTCGAGCCTGGTCAGTAACTAGATGGGTGACCGCTTGGGAATACCAAGTGCTGTAAGCTTAGATATACAACTGGTCGGTCTAAAGGGCTTACGTCCATACCACGCTGAAACACCGAAGTTAAGCAACCTCTAGCCTGGTCAGTAGCAAGATGGGTGACTACTTGGGAATACTAAGTGTTGTAAGCTTAGATATACGACTGGTCTAAAGGGTTTACGTTCATATCACGCTGAAACACCGAAGTTAAGCAACATCGAGCCTGGTTAGTAGCAAGATGGGTGACCACTTGGGAATACCAAGTGCTGTAAGCTTAGAAATACGACTGGTCTAAAGGGCTTACGTCTATATCACGCTAAAACACCGAAGTTAAGCAACCCTTAGCCTGGTCAGTAGCAAGATGGGTGAATACTTGGGAATACTAAGTGTTGTAAGCTTAGATATACGACTGGTCTAAAGGGTTTACGTCCATATCACGCTGAAATACCGAAGTTAAGCAATGTCGAGCCTGGTCAGTAGCTAGATGGGTGACCGTTTGGCAATACCAAGTGCTGTAAGCTTGTATGTGCGATTGGCGTAATGGATAACAACTCGGAATTTGAAATCGGTCACAAATGTCCAAGATTGCCCAAGTATCTATAAAATTGCTGTCTTTCCCTTTGTCTGCAAGTATTACGCAATAGCGCGACATCAAACAAATGCAATTCTCGGTACGCCTACGCGACCCGAATATTTGTAGCTGGTTGAGTTTAAAGTGGAAATCCCACGCATACATGGGAGTGGATGCAAAAACTGCCCAATTCTCTACTGGGACGCTTCGACTATCTGGGATTGTCCCTGCCCTCCCTCGCTTAGTTCTTCGGGTGAGGTGCTGCTTGAGAGAGGAGGTGGCTCCCCGGAGCTATGCATAATGATAAACACGCATGAGAAATGCGGTTTTGGCATTTATCTCTAGGCCCACGCCAACAGAATATGTTACATAGTCGAGTTTAATGTGTCAATCCCATGCGTACATGCAATTAAAAAAAAATTGCTTAGTTCCCTCGTCTCTTTACCACGAGGAATCCTCGAGTAAAAGACATAGTCTCTAATCTTTCTCCTTTCAGTGCAATGGCGGGGGTTGTGTTTGTGGGTGCGCTCCGCCACTGAATGGAGCTGAGTTGAGTCATAATCTCGCACAAGGAATTCGTTTTGTCGAACATTAACTCGAATGGAATAGGGCACAAGTCTAAGTTATAGATGGTGTAAATTGGATTAGTGACATAAATTATTTTCTTAGTTACCTAGCAAATCATTTTTCTTCAGAAGAAGCCTATAGCTTTTAAACGCCTGTGTGCGTCTCCCGAACGCCTGTGTGCGTCTCCGAACGCCTGTGCGAGTCTCCGAACGCGTGCGCGGCTCCGAACGCCTGTGTGCGTCTCCGAACGCCTGTGCGTGGCTCCGAACGCCTGTGCGCTGCTCCGAACGCCTGTGCGTGGCTCCGAATGCCTGTGCGCGTCTCCGAACGCGTGCGCGGCTCCGAACGCCTGTGCGCTGCTCCGAACGCCTGTGCGCGACTCCGAACGCCTGTGCGCGGCTCCGAACGCCTGTGCGCTGCCCCGAACGCCTGTGCACAGCTTCGAACGTGGCACATTCCAACTATTTCCTTGCTAAACAGTTTAGTTTCAAATTTTATAAAATAAGCCAAATATTTCTGTTTGACAGTTCGCGTGGACCATAGAACTCGCTTCGAAAATGACAGAAAAATTAAAGAAAACAAGGAAAATTATAAATAATTAAAGGAGATCAATTATTTCACCCCGTCCAAATAAATATGCACTCTGGAGTCTTAAATAAAAAAGGGCGTGGCCTAAACAAGAACTGACAATTGTGAAAACCTAATAAATGATGAGTTCGGTATAAGCAGGGGATGGAGAAATCTGAGTGGTGGAGTAGGGATTATTTTAGAATTTGGTTCGTTTGAATGAAGGAAAACGATTTTCTAAGGGTAGCTTAGATGTGGGACAAGGCCGAAAATATGGGGCACCCAGTGAGGATCGAACTCACTATTGTCGTAATTAACATAGAGAGACAATGTTGCTTACTATTAAACCACATCGAAATTCCCTTCGATTGAATGAAGAAATGTTATGTAAATATACAGCAAATTGCGAGGTACATTCCAGAAGTTTTTAAGACTTTGTTAGGAAAACCCGTTATATTTGGCTTAGATTGTTAGAATTTTAGTATATCATTACGATACATTTAATAAACTGACCTGCCAACTTTTGCGGTTCCAGATTGTAACTGCTCTTTGAACACATCCGACTAAACACTGCTCGTCACAACTGATGGGTTTGCAAAATGGCGTCGGGTCATGAAGACAATAAGGAAGTTCGCAATGCAACGAATTTTGTGCTGACAGTGATGAACATAAAAACCGTTCTTCCCCATTCTTACAATCTAGACATTGTTCCGTGTGACTTTTGGTTGTTCCCAAACTGAATGAAAATTCCAGGGGCAGTCGTTTTAAAGACATTGACTTCCATGTAAACTTCACGAAGTGACGGGAGCCCTACAGCAAGTTCAATGAGGTCAGAGGATGCAACTTTGAAGGAGATAAGCGTGTTGTACTTTTTTAAAATGAATAAATGTCTCTCCTGAATAAAAGTCTCGAAACTTCTGGTATACACCTTGTATTTTAACGGGCGTTAAAACATTTTTCTTCTATATCAAACTTTTGTGACTGCAACTAAATAGAAATCTTACAAGGCGTGTTTTAATGTACTTCGTTTGTAGTTCTTTCCGTTATGGATCAGCTGTCTGTGTTTTTTAGAGCAGCACTCAAGTTGAAGTAAAAAGAGCTAACTGGTTTGGCAAGATATCCTTGTTTTTTTTTTTTTGTTTTGTGTGTGTGTGTGTGTGTGTGTGTGTGTGTGTGTGTGTGTGTGTGTGCGTGTGCGTGTGTGCGCGCGCGTCAAGTGCACGTATTCCTCGCTCAGTATCTCGACGTCTTTTAACTTTTAATTACTTAATGAGCCAAGAATTATTTTCTAAGCTTTGTCGGGCACAAGATCACAAGAATAAAGTGTACATGAAACATCATTAAAGCATATCTCAATGTCTGTTAACTTTTAATCACGATGTGTAGATATGAAAGACTGAATATGAACAGGAACGTCATATTCACTTTTATATATCTACACAACATTTGCTTTTCTTCGCCAAAAATTGTTAAACTCCCACTGTTCATTTTTTAGTCAAATATTTTAACTTATTTGGACACATGGACGTGATGTAATAATTAGTATGCTTGTCACTCTAGGTCAATTACGACTGAATAATGAGTTCAATCCTCACAGGATGCCCCATACTTTCGGCCTTGTATAACATCTAAGTTACGCTTAGAAAATCACAATAGTAATCTTGCCTAATTAGGTTAATTACGACTGAATAGTGAGTTCGATCATCACTAGGTGCTACTCTACTTTCGGCCTTGTGCCACACATAGTCATGGTGTCCAAAATTGATTTCCAAAGTCTAGCTTAGATGCGGCACAAGGCTTAGAAAATCCCTATTGGTGTTATGGTTAACAAGTTTGTCTCGCGAGCTCAATTATGACTGAATATTGAGTTCAATCCTGACTGGTTGCTCCATACTTTCGGCCACATCTAAGCAACGCTTAGAAAATCAGCATTTGGCACCTCGATGGGGTGTAATGGTCAACAATCTTGTCTTGCTAGATCAATTACGGCTGTTTCCGGTCTTCACTGGGTGCTCCACACTTTCGGCCTTGTGACGCATCTAAGCTACGCATTGGAAATCATTTTTGGACACTACGACTTTGTGTAATGGTTAACAAGCTTGTCACGCTAGAACAATTACGACTAAGTAGTGAGTTCGAGCCTCATTGGGTGTCCTATTCATTCGGCCTTGTGCCATATCTAAACTACACTTAGAAAATCCTTTTTGGCACATCGATGTAAGCTTGTCTCGCTAGAGCCATTACGACGTAGAAATGAATACTGAGCCATTACGTGACATCTGTCCTTCTTTACGGCAGCGAATGTTGGACGATTTCCTCAAAGATGAAGAAGAGACTTGAGGTGACAGAGATGTGGTTCTACAGAAGGATGCTAAGGATATCATGGACTGAGCGTGTGAGCAACGATGAGGTTTTAGAGAGGTTGCAAACAAGGAGGAGGCTTATACTTAATATCAGGAAAAAGTAGCTGAAGTTTCTGGGACACATAATGAGGAAGGAGGGCCTGGAGAATCTGATACTCACGGGTCGAATAGAAGGAAAGAGAGACAAAAGAAAACAACTCATGACATACCTGGCGGGCTTAAGCAAGTGGATGACAGAACGTAGTCTGGGGGAGGAAGTAGAGGGGAAGGAAGTTCTTGAGAGGTGCAAGGGATAGAGGGGGGTGGAGAGCCATGATCGCCTACGTCCTGAAAGGACATGGCACATAAAAAGAAAGGAAAGAAAGTGAGTTCGATCCTCATTGGGTACCTCATACATTCGGTCTTGAGTCGCATCTAAGCTACGCTTAGAAAATCACCAATGCCTTTATTATTCATTATTAAAATAACGTGTAAAGATGACAATTTTTTTGTTTTTCAATTCTAAATGATCATTTTATTAGAATTTAAACATTTTCCAGGGCGTTTCGGTGAAAATAAATAAGCAGGTGGTTGGAAGAGGAGCGGAGGTGGCCTGAAATTGTTTTTTTACAAAACTTAATAAACCGGTGGATACGATTATTCTGCATTCGTCTGGACAATCTCTTCAAAGATGAGGTAGAGACGAGGCAACAGAAATGTGATTCAACAGAAGGATGCTGAGGATACCATGGACCGAACATGTGAGCAACGACGAGGTTTTAGAGAAAATGGAAACAAAAAAGAAACTTATACTTAACATCAGGAAGAGACAGTTGAAATTTCTACAGGAGGATGCTGAGGATACCATGGACCGAACATGTGAGCAACGACGAGGTTTTGGAGAAAATGAAAACAAAAAGGAAACTTATACTTATACCAGGAAGAAACAGTTGAAAATTTCTGTGGTACATAATAAGAAAAGAGGGCTTGTAAAATCTGATACTCACAGGACAGATTGCGAGCAAGAGGGACAACGAAAAACAGCGTATGACATAATTAGTGAGCTTGAGTAAATGGATGGTGGAATAGGGTTTAGGAGGAATAACAAAAAGACAACTTTTATTAAGAGCTACACACAGGAAATTGTGGAGAGCCATGATTGCTTACGTCATGAGAGGACACGGCGCATAAAGAAGATTACGTTCCTTTCGGATGGAAGCACCGAA